TTACAAACCAAACAGGAGAAAAACAATTGGAGATGTTAGTCAGATGCCTACATGTTGTTTCAGTCTTTAGTAAGATGGTATATGGTGTGTGGGGGGGTATCTTTTGCAGGCAGGCTCCTGCTCCTTTTGGCCACATGGCTATAGGGAGATTTGCAAAGTCCAGAAAATTTAAAATCCATTTGCATTTCAATTTATAAATTTAAAATTAAAATTTCAGCCCTGTTGAGATGCAAATGAGATGTTTTTCTCCTGTTTGGTCTGTAACATCTTGCCGAATAAAGAAGCTCATGGAGCTTCAAAAGCTTGCAACAAGTATATTGTGCATTTTGGTTGGCCAATAAAGGTATCACTAATGGATTTGTTTGAATGTATCTAGTCTGGTAGCCAATGAAGCTATCATGGCAAGGCAGGGTGACCAGATGTCATAACCGTAAAAGCAGATAAAGTTCCATAAAATGTAAGGCATTCAAGAAAAAACTAGGACATTACAAAATAAAAGCTAGGAATGCTAATATAAATATAAATTCATGCTTTTTAGCCATGGTCAAAATGGAGGACATTTTCAAATTCCTCTTGGTCAGAAGGATGAAATATAGGACATGTCCTGGAAAAGGAAGACCTCAGGTCACCTTGTGACAAGGGAATCACATACTAAACAGTCTGGATCAGCTGAAATGTATGAAAACTTTTTAAATGCAACCCAACATACAGCTATTAAAATATTTGAACAGGATGTAACACAGCCACATCTAATATGTCCACGAGGATTTTTTTTTGCCTTTGCCAAGTACTTCTGTTTTCTCTGCATTAAGCATTGCTGTAATATCTGTATTAAACCTGACTTTTCCTGGCCTCAGCCACTCCACTTACATTTGGTCCACTACTGAATCAGAAACTGGTTTAGCACTTAAACAGCTTCTTTGGACTTTGACAGAAAGGAGAGATAGTGCTGGATGCCACCAGCATTTTAATGGCACCATTTTAAAAAAGGGTTAGAGACATCTTTTTTCACATCCTCAGACACATAGAATGAATCAGTACCCTCAGGACAAAATCCTTTCTTTGTACTATCATTGGCAATCAGACCTAGTCCTTCCTTGTCTTATTATTAAGGATTTCCTTTCAGATTTGCCCTTCAGAGACTTCAATCAGGTGTCTCTATCCTTGCCAGCAGTCCCAGCTGTCTTTTCTCCTATACAAGATTATTTGGATCCATGATTTTACCAGTACCCAAATCCCAGATTTAATTTGAATGTTGTAATGTAGATCTAGTTACACTGCTGAGCCTTTTTTTAAACAAAAAATGGGAGTAATAATCAGAATAATTCTTAAAAATGCATAACTTCCTTCTTCTCTATACTAAAGGACAAGTGTTTTTGCATCATGTCTCAGTCTTGTTCAAATCCTGACATTTAAAAGGAGGAGGAGAAGAAAGAGGATGACGAGGAAGAGATTTATTGCTGCTCACATGATATTACCCTACTTTAGTTAAAGCCTGAATCAGATGTTTAGTCTTAGATTCTTGGAAATGGCATCGAAAAAAATGTCATTCCTACAAGGGATAAATATGCCACTATACACTTTAGAAATGGGAAAATCTACAGTCAAAACAAACTGTTTTCCAGCACCCACTTTCACTGCCAACAGATGTCAACATGAAGCCACTGTATACCTGAATTCCAGTCTGGGATTTCTCAGGAGACTTGTTGTGAACACAGGTCATCATGAAAAGCTTCTACTGCATCCAAGACATACATTTATTTGAAACCAGTGCTATCTGTAAGCCATAACCTGATCAAAATCAATACATGGTAAATCATTTGAAGGTGGGAAAGTGGAGCATACAAAGAATTCAAAGATATAACCATGTTATTCTGTAGAATCAGTATGTAGAGTGATCTTGTAGCACCTTTGAAACTAAAGAAAGAAGTTGACAGCATCAGCTTTCCTAGACTTCGCTTTTGCTGCCAATTTCTTTCTTTCAGTTAGTCTCAAAGGTGCTACAAGATCTCTCTAACATAATGGAGCATACCAAATTTGAGGTTTTCTTTTATTTGTTGCATTAAGCATACACATTGTCAAAAGCATTTTACAGTAGGGGCATGCTGTAGATCTGGCTGAATCTCAAACTGATTTGGAACAATTCAGGAGATGTCCGGATCAAAATGGGGCTCCTCTAAAGTAGTCCAAATTTGTATCCCCCTTCCTAAGAAATTGTCAGCATTGTCAGTGAGTCCAATGTGAGAGAATGCAAAGAGCCAGATAATGGTTCTTCACAAAATGATTCAGTTTTCCCTAGCTCTTGATATAAAGAAAATTCTTATAACAAGAGAGAGGGAGTAAAGGAGAGAAGGTGGTGTAGTTTTTGTGAGTAACAGCTTTTGCTCCTAATCCAGCAGGTAGTTTCATCACGACCCTCCAATCCCAGATATTTGGGGCAGGGATAATACAAGTACTACATTTCATGCCTGTTTCAGGGTTCAGTTATCTTTGTTAGTTCTCTTTCCCAGAAGGAGGAATATTAAAGAAGTTTGTGCTGAGTCCTTTTCTTAGTACGTTCTGAAGCTGTACATTCTATTCTTGTGAAAACCCCGCTGCTCTTACTCAACTGAAATTTATCAGGTGTAATCCCAGTACTGTATAACAAACTCCAGTGTCTACAAGGTTCATCCAGTTATGCCAAGCAGGAGAAAAATTATACCCATTTGCTGATTTTCAATTACAGTGAATGGGAGGCAAGGATATATGGATATCTGAGATGAAATTTGGATTTGCGTCTGAATCAAATTGACAACCTACAAATTGGTCTACTCCACATGATATCTGGTTATATTTCAATTGAGAAAGTCTAAACTGAATCTTGTTTTCAGGGCACACTCCTAATTTACTGCGATTATTTTTTAATTGCAGTGTTATTTTTAATGATCTGCACCCCTATGTAGGCAGACACTATGCACAAAAGGCTTTGTTCCCATTTAATAAAACTTACTGTAGAAGCTAAATAGGGCAATGTGAAAAAAAAATATTTTTGTCAGCAGTGATCCCAGACTCTAAGCTACAGAATATATTGTTTCAACATTCTTCCAAGTCTACCCCCCCAATAATTCTGCATTCTTCAATTCAATTTACCTTAACAACCTGTTTAATGGCCAGCCTACAGAACACGCACAGACAAGAACAGCACCTACATGAACACTCAATAAGATGAAGGATGTAAAACTCTATTTTCCTTCTTTTTGGGTGTGACAACAAGAAATGGAACATCTTTCTCCTTCCCTACAAGATATTTTCTGTCACCTCTGGACAAAGTTTTTGCACTTACGAGAACTATGGTTATGTAAATTCTGCAAGCTACTCAAATTGTGTTTGTGTAAATTCTGCAAATTGTCCAAATTGTATAGCTGATGTACAATAGCTACTATCTTGTTGTATTTATTGTTGCTGTTATGGGGCTTCAAGTCAACTTTGATTTATGATGACCCTATCCTAGAGGTTGGTGTTTTTTGTTTTTTTTTTGGTTGGGGGCATGATTTGTTCAGAGAAAGTTTGCCATTGCCTTCCTCTGAAACTGAGAGAGTGAGAGAATGAGAATTGTCCAAGGTCTGCCAATTGGTTTTCATGACTGAGCAAGAATTCAAACCAGTCTCCTGGAGCCTCAGCCAAAACCAGTAGACCACACTAGCTCTTGTTCTGTAGTTGTTGTTTTTTTAAAAGATGGATTATTTGAGCCTTTTGGATTAATCTACTAGTCCTTCTGCCTTTACTGAGCATGTGTGCTTTGCTTCAAAATGGGAAAAATATTAGTTTTGCACAGAGGCATGTTTACAAGTTGCAGAAACTCTAATGGAAAATAAGTATTTATTTTGCTTTCAGCCTCAGGGAACAAATTTCACAGGGGTCAGTGAACTCTTGACAGGCTTTCTCTATATTTTAAGACAGCCTGTCTTGCTGAGAAAGAGTAATGTATTGAGACTTCTTTATTCAGACCCTTAAAACCCACTAAAGTCTACATATTTACTGCATAAGTAGTTGCTTTGGAATGGTTGATAGAAAGTATGAAAATCTGCACATATTTACACCCTCCCCATGGGGGATGCAGACGGGCAGCCCTGGGCCGCCCCAGGAAATGGAGGATCGAGGCCGAGGCTGCCGGAGGCGTTGGCCCCAATCCTCCCTTTTGCCTCCTCGGAAAGGAGCGCCAAAATGACGCTCCTTTCAGAGGTGGCAGATAGGCCGCCCCAAGAGCCACCGCATGGCTCTTTGGCACCTCTTCCGGTACAGCGCATCAAAACGCTGTGCTGGAAGAATGTCCTGACGCCATGCGCCATGCATAACGGTGCATGGCGTCAGGATGTCTTCAGGGAGGGGTTGGGGTGCCCGGTGTGTGGCTGCCCCTCCCCTTCCCTGCCCCTAAGACGGCGCAAAGCGCCGTCTGTAGAGGCCCCATGTCTTGTCATATAAAAGAATCACTCACTATTATTTTCTAATACAAACACAGGTGGCAAAAAAGGACAGTAGTAGAGCAACAACATATGCCAGATAAATTGAACAGATTTATTGAAGACTGTTGTGTACTACAATGCAGTAAAACAGGTAGAGAAAACTTTTGCTGTTCATGACAAAATATGCTTTGGGAGATCTCCACTTGTGCTCCTTCCCATTTCGTTTTCTCATATCTATTTTACTGAGATATAGCATGTATATATGGTGGTATAGGAATGTAGAACTCAGTGGCAGATGGTGCTCAGTTCAGCTGGTGCGTAGAGGGCCAGGTAACCAGGGAGAGGCCCAGGTAAGCCACCAGAAGTGGAGCCAAAGCAATCAGCAGAGATGGGGCCAACTATAAAGGTACTCTGCCCTCTACTCCTGCATTGCACTGTTGTAAGATCCAGTAGCCCTATGAGGCAGGGAAATGAAACATAAGTTGTGAAATCTGTACATACAGCATACTCAGTGAGAGGCTTCCCAGTTATTTCCCTCCTCCATGATATAATTAGAGAGTCAGCGTGGCGTAGTGTTTTGAGTGTTGGACTATGACTCTGGAGACCAGGGTTCAATTCCTGTTCAGCCATGAAACCCACTGGGTGACCTTGGGCAAGTCACATGCTCTCAGCCTCAGGAGAAGGCATTGGTAAATCTCCTCTGAACAAATCTTGCCAAGAAAATCTCATGATATGGCTTTAGGGTTGTTATAAGTCAGAAATGACTTCAAGGCACAAAATATAGAGATGATATAGTGTAAAAGAATACGATGTAGTGTAAAAGAGACCCAAACCAGCAAACAATATTGACCCTACTCTTTCTAATCTTTACATGCTATAACAACCAAACTCCTACTTGGCTAACCCTAACTTTTAAATGTTGTATCTCAAATAATCAACCAATCACAATTTACATCCAAGGTTCCAACAAGTTTCTAACCTTCCAACATATCACCTGCTAATATATACACACACTCTCAGCACACTATAGAGCAGGGGTAGGCAACCTTTTTGAGCCGGTCCAAAGGCCTCGGGGGGACGCATCAGGACCCCAGGCCTTAGGTTGCCTACCCCTGCTATAGAGCATTAGATATTATCTTAATTCATCTAATATAAACATAAATGCTAACAGAAGAGTTTATCACACGGGGGAAATCCCGTGCGGAAACGGGGCTTTAAATTGGAAAAATAAACGCAAAAACGGTTAGATTTTCAGATGATGTTGCTGTTAAAATGGAGTTAAAATGAGGTTAATCCGAACGGAAACTTGTCAAAAACTGCTTCTTTTTTACCTTTGGGATTTTTTGAAAGTAAAAAGAAGCAGTTTTTGATGAGTTTCCGTTCAGATTAACCTCATTTTAACTCCATTTTAACAGCAACATTGTCTGAAAATCTAACCGCTTTTGCATTTTTTTTTCCAATTTAAAGCCCCGTTTCCGCACAGGATTTCCCCCGTGTGATAAACTCCAGAGACTGTAAAACCTTACAAACAATCCAAACTAATGCACTCACTTCACTTACCTTCCCCACCCCTTTCATTTTATTGATGGTATGGTGACGGCATCTGCCCACAGGGGGGAAATATTCATTGAATTTAGAATCTGGGGAAGTTGCAGGAGGAAAGAGAACAGTACACCTGCCCAGAAGCAAGAATTATGAATCTGGCTGAATCAGAAGGTAGAGGAGACACTTCAAAAGGTGTGGTAAAGAGTAAGTGCTGACAGCTAAAATAATTATTGAAATCTCAGAAACCAGGAGATGCTTCAGGACAGTTAATTCCTTCATCCTGTAGACAAACTGCTTCTGGTAGTACCGCTGAAATAGTTTAAGGCAGCAGGAACTGAAAATAGTGTAGTTCCTCAGACTGCAGGCTCCTATTATGATTGATGGAGGGAGCTCACAACAGTATAAACTACCTTGGGAGGTATTTAGCAGTTTTGGTACTATACTACATCTTGCCAGGAGCTTCTGGGAACAACACACTTAAGTAACAGCAATTAATTTTTCCACTGCTGTTTGTTAAATGACCACTGTTAGTATAATGAGCTATTTTTGTAACTTTTGAATTTCTATTCTCTCACATCTGCTGCCCACTCTTGCATGTACATAATATCAAACAACAGAAGCAGCACTCCGTGCATCTAATGAGGTGGGCTGGAGGCCACAAAAGTGTGTGCCAAATAAAACATGTTTGATTTTAAAGTGCCACAAGAGCCTTTGTTGGTTTTGCTGCAATAGATGTAACACAGCTCCTCTGGAAATCCTCTTTATAGTATTTGATTCTTCTGCAAGTTTCAGTGCTGCAGGACGCTGGTTCTAAGCCACTGGGATTTTCCCCCACTACTTGCCTTCAACACTATTATAAAGGAATGGAATTTAAACAGTGACAACTGTCTCAGATTTTAAGGAGAAAAGCCACTTCCAAGAAAATATGCAATGATTTCCAATAACATTAGTAACAAACACTGTTGTTACTTATTTCAAATATCAACAACATTCTAGAGATTTGGGTCTCAACAAAAACCAGCAGTCTGAATCATTGCAACTCAGATCATTCCCGCTAGAAATTAAAAAAGAGAGAAATTAGAATCACAATTCTGGGGCCCTTTCATGCTACATGATGGTACGGTGATGCCCCACTACCTGCCATGGTTGCATCCCATGGAATCCTGTGTTTTGTAGTTTGGTCAGGGTCACTAGAGGTGGTCTCTGAATATGAGTCTGAATATTTGTGTGTGTATCTGTGCCTTCAAGTCACCTGTTGACTTACGGCAACCCCCTGAATTTCATAGGGTTTTCTTAGGCAAGGAATACTAGGAGGTGGCTTTGCCAATTCCTTCCTCTGAAATATAGCCTACAACACCTGGAATTTGTTGGCGATCTCCCATCCAAGTACTAACAAGGGCTGACCATGTTTAACTTCAAAGATCATACAGAATCTGGTGCCTTTAGGGTATTTAGGTGGTTAGAGTTCTAAATACCATTTCCTAAACTACCAATCCCAGGATTCTACAGGATGTTGCCATGAAATCACAGTTCTATAATTGTACTGTGAAAGGGAATCCAATCCTGGTTTAAAGTTTATGAAAAGTCTTTTAATTTTTACCTGCCATTTTATCTTAATTTTAAATATGATGTCTGCAGTTACTTGCTTTTGTTTTGCACACACACACACAGAAATGTTTGCAGGTTTGCCACAAAACATTGATTATGAGTCTAAAATGCAATAAATTAATAACTGTTTTCCTATGGGAAAAGGTATTTTATATATCCAGATACTGACAACAAGACTAACAGGAGTGGCAGCAGGAGGGAGGGAATGAAAAATGTTCACAAATATCCTTTAATTAATAGAAATATATTTTTAAAGGTATTCATTAGAAACAAATGATTAAAATATGTGCATTCCTGAAAAATATATACTTAAATACACTCACATTTTCATGCAGGGAGGAGGAAAAGTCTAGCAACCAAATATAGAAATGGAGTAGTTGGAAAATGCCAGGTAATCTGAGCAACACAACCAAAATGACAGATTATCCACAAAACATAAAAGAAGGATAAAAGTTTTAACTATTACTAATAAACTACTTTTTCCTATATCGTACTTAGCACATAGGAGTGGCTGCCTTGAGTTGAGGTCAACTTGAGAGCAACTAACAATAGGTTGAAAAGCCACTTTAACATTTGATATAGTGCTAATATCATATAGTCAAATAGTTTGCGGAAGACAACTGAAACAGTTTAATAATTATTGTAAGCAAAAAAATTTTTTAATAATGTTGGGCATGAAACAAAGTGTACATTGATCCATCAGAAGGCAAAGGTTGAACTATCTTAGCCACCCATGTGGATAATTTTGGAATATTTTGGATTTCAGAATTCTGGATAAAAGAGACATAGCCTGTACTTGGGGGGTGGTATTCCATCAGTCAGGCTCTTGGATAGCTCATATTAATTGTGTTAAGAGAAATTTGAAAAAGCAGTGCATGTCATTCTCAGACTTTATAGAACTAGAGGTGGTTGCCTAGTCCCCCCAGTTGTGGAAATTTTTTAAATGAAATTCATTCCACACGTTATATGGAGCTGCAATTTGGGGAACTGCCAAATTACAATCCCTAGAGGCTGTCCAAAATAAATTTGCTCATTTGTTACCTGCAGCATCACCCTCAATGTCAACAGCTTTAGTTAGAATAGAATTACTATTATTATCCATAGTGATTTTGTATTTTGTTGCAGAAAGCAAAAATTAAATATTGGCTGAACATTTTTGTATCAGATTTGGTTGGAAAGCTAAGGTATTCAGAATATTATGTAAGTGTTCTAGGTTTTGACACTGCTAAACTCTCCGTTGAACAGAAAGTGAAAGATATAACTGATTATTACATACTATGACCTCAGTTAACATTCCCAGGTAGATTGTCCCCTTCCCTCTGAAAACCATCCTGCTTTTCTTATTGTAAACTTTGACTATAGAAAGGTCTTCACAAAAATTTGTTTGAACATATTTCACCTTGCTGAATTAGAAGGATGCTACAATTGAATCCCTGATAATGAAAGAGTTTGTCTTTGTGACAACAAGTTAGTTTGAGGATTTAACAATTGTGATACTTTAGTGCCATATATTTCTGGCTGAACCAGAAAAACCTCTGCAGCCTATCTTGATGAAGATAAATTTGTTACACACCAAATGACAAGGTTTACATCTTTGGTTGTCAAATCTAAGTCAAAACTCAAGAGCTTTATGGCAAACAAAATAGACAATTAGACTAGGTATTTCACTCTGGGTTTTTTCCCTCCTTAATTCAATTAGAAATAAATTTTAAAGTTTTAGCAAAGTCTATATTGTAATGTTATTCTTCTACCATTTTAATATATTGCATAAGGCTATGGTGTGTTTTAACTTATTATGGAAATTTTATTATGTTTTATTGTTTTCTAATCTTTTATATATTTTATTACTGTTATTGTTTGCTATGACATTGTGCTAAACTGATAAAACTAAATTGAATACAATAAGTCCCAAAATGCAACTCTCTCTCTCTCTCTCTCTCTCCTTCCATTACTGCAACAACCAGGGGGAGGGAGGGGACAATACAGGCAGTTGTCTTTGTCAAGACAGAAAGTTGCCCTACTGGCTACCCAGATGCTCAAGATCTGGAAGGGTAGTAATTTCTGGTGACAAAGATAGTTTCCTCTTCTGTTGTCCCACTGCTGCTGTACATTATTTGCAAAGTACCTTATGCTGGTGTGATGGAGCATTACACCAGCATAAATTATCAAGAAGATTCCAGCCATTATGTTAAATATAAAGATACCAAGACTTCAAAAATACAAAACAGAGCATTTAGTGGAAAATGTACCATGGGAGTTAGCACAGCTTTCTCCTAAAATCAATTATTAATGTTTTATTAGCAAAATCCATTAACCAGCATATTTCGAAAAACATGATAAAAGTTCATTTTGGAGCGGAATCAATGACAGGCAGCTCCTTGAAGCTTAAACAAAAAAACACGCACACAGATCTAAACCATAAATGAAGGAGATTAAAGACAAAAGCCTTTTAATCCATAAATCTATAAATAATCCT